TAATTGGGGGTAGTCAGTGTCAGAGCACAGTGGTGGGGACAGGGGAGGGTTACTGGTGAGCATTCAAACATTGTAAGGTGGGGTGTACTAGTATTTTGTAAAAACCCTAGGTTATGTGGCCAGGGTTGAGAACCACTGATTTAGACCAGCTTCCAGGTGACACTCATTTGGGGACTACACTTTGAGAAACATGCCCTAGATGATTCTAATGAGCAGCCAGGGTTGAGAACCATGCATCTAAATTGAAGATGGGGAATTGAATGGCACAAAACCATGGCTTCAAAGTGTGATGGAGGAAGAGGAAAGCCCCTCTTCTCCACGCAGGAGCTAGGGGATGGGAGTAGCTTCCACAAGACAGAAATGAGGGAGAAGGTAGGTAGCACTGACTGGGTAAGAATCAATGTAGGTAAGAGCAGCAAAGGTACAAACTAGAGGTGGGGGTATTTATCCACAAAGCAGAAGGAAGAGAAAGAAGGGCTAGGAACCAGGCACCCAGGGCAGGGAACGGCAGCATAGGAAAGAGCGAAAGGAGGCTAATGGGGGGAAGGGCAGAACAGCAGGTGTGGCTCCTGAGGCTCAACAACAGCCAGGTGTATATGCTGGTGACCGCAGCTCCGCAGCTTGTTATTCATCCTTTCATTTACACCTCACCCCTACTCCCCAAAAATCTGCAGCAAAAGGCTTAAATACAGACGTATAGAAGGTGGCACCGTGGTGTGTCTGTGGTGGTGGGGGGGAGGAGGGCAACGGAGTAGGCTGACATGGGGTCTGATTATACCTAGTTAACAAGGTTAACTCAAATGAAAGCCATAAAGCCTTTGGCAGTGCGGTAGAGTCAGTGAAATATAGTGGAGAGCTAGGGGAGCAGGACATAAGTTGACATCTACACACCTGCTGCGTGCCAGGTACCGTGGTTGCCACTTTCTTTCTCATTTAATAACGCAGGGCCTGGTAGGCCATGGAAAGTTTGGATTTTCTTCTAATTAGACTGCGAAGTCACTGAAGTTTTTAAGAGAGAAGTGAGGAGATGTAGTTAGGTTGTCAAAGATCAGTACTACACCTGTTCCATTTTATAGGCCAGGAAACTACAGGTTAGCCAGTCTGGGGTCACATGAGGAAGTGTCTGAATCTAGATTAAAGATCAGGCCTCTCTGAGATAAAGCAATGTGACAAAATGTTAACAGGTGATGAGTTAAGGGTATAGGGTATTCATTGTATCCTTTTGACTTTTCTGTATGTTTGAAAGATTTTGTAATAAAAAGTTGGGAAAAAAAAGAGGTCTGGGGTGCCTGGATGGCTCAGTCAGTTAAGCATCTGACTCTTGATTTCAGCTCAGGTCATGATCTCATGGTTCATGAGTTCGAGCCCATTGGGATCCTCACTGACAGCGCAGAGCCTGCTTGGGATTCTGTCTCTCCCCCTCTCTTTGCCCCTCTCCTGTTTGTGCTCTCTCTCAAAATAAATAAAGTGAAACAAAAAGAACTAGGTCTAACATCAAAGCTTAAACTCTTTTTTACCCACTATGCATTACTGTGTCACTAAGTAACGCTGATTCCCTCATTGTCCCCTCTGAGCCTGATTCTGCCCGTTGTAACAATGAAACTGGGTTAGATCACCATTAAGGTTCTCTCCCTAATACTCAGTAATCCCGCTGTGGCAGTGTCTAGCTTTAAATCATTAGGCTACACCAAGAGCCAGGTCACCAGCTTGTCCTGTGGTCTGAAAGAGCCTAATGGTTCTCCTGTAACAGCATCCAGGGATGCAGTTTGTAACCTCTGGAAAGAGGTGTGTGCTCGGCCATATCGCCTGCTGCTGTGTCAACACTGCTGGGTGTCAGTCTCCATCCACTGGGGGGAAATCACTCTCAAAAGGAAACATCTTCTTCTGCCAAGGCTTTGGGTGGGGCTAAGAAAACTGTTCGTGACAACACTGAATCAGCACATTCATCAGCGTCAAGCTCATAGTCAAAGGGAACTGGAAGAGGGCCCTGGTTATGAAAGCTCCAGCTGAGGCCTCTTCAGCCTCAAAGGGAATGGAACCAGAATGGGCAAAGTCATAATGGAGATAGGCAGGGGAATAAAAGGCAGCATGATCAAATTAGGGGTTTCCTCCTAAAGTATTAGAGTTCAGAGTAGAGCTCCCTCAGAAGTACTTAATTTATGGACTTCATCCCCCCCCGAGAGGTAATAAAGCTTCAAAATGGGTTTTCAAAAGTTGCAAAATGACTTTTGTGAAAACAGGCTCTTTGTAGGAACATGTCTAAACCGCTGAGGCTATTTTGGCAAGGACAACTGGGTTCTCCCAAAATGTGTATGTTGGGGTTTGTCAGATTTCTGGGGCTGGAGTGATCATGGATCTGACCCAGTGTGATATTTACATGCATAAACAATCAACATCCTTTTTGGTAATCGTGTTATTTTGTTGCCTGAATCCCTGGAGTTAAAATAAGAATCCTGGGCTGGCCTCTGGAAGCACTGTGACTTTATTAGCCTCAGAAAATAACGTGGCTTCTTCTCCCCTCCAGGGGCAAACATACCGAGCATTCTTCTATTTCTGTGTAAGACAGGAAATAACAGTACAGTCGTAGCTGTGAGGACTGCAGTCAAGTAGGATCCAGTGACCATAAGCCCCTGTTTACCAAGATCACACTGATTTTTCACACAACATATATTTATTCAGAAAAACATTTGCAATAAATTATAATAAAAAAGATGACACAAAATACAGAATCCCACTAGCAGCTTTGCTTAGTGACCAAGACATTTTTGAGAAATATAACAATTACAGAATAAGAATCAGAAAACAGTGAAAGGGAAACTAAATGCAATGTCACCATATAGGTTCGAGCCATTTCTTCCCTAAAACAATAGATGTGGAGTCCTTCTCTACCAGTTGAATCTGAACTCCTTACTTCAGGAGCTATGAAATAAATAGCACATTAGAGTTACTTAGGAATCAGAGGTTGGCGTGCTGGAGTAGGCACAGTAGGGAGGCAGATTTCTTCCGTCTACTCTATTTCTGTCTCCCCTACCTAGAGATTGTCTCAAACACTTAATGCAGTGTACATCCCAGGGCCAGAGCTGGAAAAACGTAGAGGCACTAAACAAATTTAGTGCATCTGCCTGCCTTATGAGGAAAGAGGATGCTGCCTACACCCCCCACCAACCACATCCTTGATCACCCAAAGGTCCCAGGTTGGCAATATACTAGACAATGTGTCCAGGACAGGCATCTCCCTGTCTTTGTGTAACGACCTTGCCGCAGATTCTATAATCTGCCTCTATGATCACCTTCTGGCCTAGTGGAGATGGCAAAAGCATTCTGCCTATAATCTTCTATTAACTAGGTTCAATACCTAGCCTCCGACCTATCAGATCTGCAGCTGTTTGGCACAGAGAACTTAACTCCTAGTTCCATAACTCCCTATCAAGAAAGGATTTAACCAGTATATCACAGGATACATACCTTTTCTTCCCCACAGAACTCAACTTACAAGAGATGGGGGGAACTGAAGAACCATTCAGCAGTGGTGTTTCCCCTGGCTCTCTCCTTCAATGTGCTAGAAGAGTCAGGAGTCAATGCCCAAGACCAGACACAAAGCCTATACATTAGGCTCCTTGGATTTAATGTTAACAGCCAAGAATGAGTTAACTCAGGGTGGTTTTAATCAAAGAAAACCAGGAAGAAGCCAACTGCATCAGGTAGTTTTGCAGTTAGTGGCTGATGGCTGGTTTGCCAACCAACACAGAATAATTAAACAACAACAACAACAACAATGCTCCCCACAGAGCTTGAGTGAATGAAATGCTCAGGGGGTTGTCTTGGGTGGGAGAGAAAGGGGCTTCATTGGTCCCACTGCATAGTCTCTTTTACATAACACTGGATAAGGTGACTAGAAACCATGGGGAGCTGGTCATAGAGCCCAGAACCAGCCTTGACGGGAGAGGGGGCAACATCTACCCCCTGGTATTTCAGAAGACCAGAGAGGGGGTTCTAAGGGTTATCCACAACAGCCTTGCTGAAGGAAGGAGCAGTATCGCTGGAGAGGCCCACCTGAGATGCAGACTGCCTTTTTGACTGTGATGCAAGCATTGCTCTGGAGATGGATGTGTAAGTGGGGAACAGGTCCCACAGACAACCAGGATGAGTGCTCATGTACAATTTGAATAAAAACAGAAAAGGGATGGTAGAAAGCAGGACCTGTCAAACATGAATATTCTCACTCTTGAAACGCTCAAAGTGCTTCCACTCTGATTGTGATTCTCTCACATCAATGGGATGGCATCTCTGACAGTCCCTAAAGTTCTGCTACTCAATGTGGTTGGAGACAAGAGAATACGGTTCCACCTAGTGTTGATCCATGACAAGGACAATGTTACAGAGACATACAGATGCCACTGTAGTAGAAATGCACAAATGCATGTCACAACCACATGTAGACAGTTAACTCACTGTTGGGGACACCCGAGGAGTCACTAGCTTTACCCAGACTTCCTTTGACGTAATAGTACTAGTGTAGTGGAGTGCAAAGAGGTGATATGGGAGGGGGCCAGGCAAAAGTGCTTTAGACGAAGGACTACAGACTAGTCTGAGCTAGAGCACGTAGTACTTGCAGACCTAGAATGGGAACATCTCAGAATCTAGGCCTAGGGTGCTAAGGACAATCATGATAGCTGGCAGGAGGCAACAAACACATCCCAGATAAAGGAGTGTAGATATAGATCTCTTGCCTTATAAAGAGAGAACACAAAAACACCAAAATATGGTACCTTTGGCTTGGCAATGTGAGTCTAAAAGTATTTTGCTGTGCAGGATATGGTAAGGGAGGGATTAGGAAACTCTTTTCCTTTTGCACTAGAAACAACTTTTTCATGCCAACAGCCTCAAAATTCTGCAACTGCCCCTTCCTGTGGCATGACTTTTCAAACCATTCTGAAATACTTAGTGCCCGAGACCTTCCGCCTCTAGAACCTTGGAGAGTAGTAAGAGGTAAAGGCTTATTAGTCTTCATCGCTCTCAAGAAACCCCAGAAGGAACTGGATAGCACGTTGACGGTCACTTGGAGTCTGTCTTGCCATGAGGTTGGGTGGAGGCCTTAGGAGAAGACTAGTGAAGAGAGTAGCTAGAGGGTGAGAGAAAGGAAAGGTAAAACCCTTTGTCAGACACAACCTAAGCAAAGCCTCAGAGACAGGAAGTGGGGGGCCAGGGGACAAGGGCAATTGGAGGGAAGTAACTGCCATGTGCCCGGATGTGAAGGAAGGAACACACTGTGTACACCATACACAGACTGTCCTGACCAGCCTACCCCCACTCACGTTGCCATTCTTATGAAGCACTCTTACCGATCATGTTTTCGCTGACATTGTTGTATTTAGAGAATTTTAAGAGTTCTCGAAGGAATGCCATCAAGTAATGGAAAACATTTCTATGGCATCTTGGAAGCTGGGAAATCACCTGTTTTTTTTAAAAAAAAGGGGGGGGAAGGGTGGGTAGTGAGAACAGGTGAAGGAAGGGAGTAAGAAGAGCTTACAGCTGCCACAGAAGTAGTTTATAATCCAACCTATACAGAACCCCATTCATCTGTCACAACTTTCCTTTATTCACTCATGACTAACAGAGTACCTGCAGATAATAACTTCCAAGTCAGAAAGGTCATCCTGTTTGGTCTGTGTATACACTCAATGACCAGGCTACGTGGTCATCACACAGTCACACGCACACCCCACCTCACAAGAAGGTTGGTATTAATCTGGTCTTCTCCCATCTCTTCAGACACGCATCCATGGCATCTGCCAAGCTGAATGGTTTTCTCTGTAATGTCATTTAGCATGGATGGGAGCTCCTCCCAATACTCACTAGCCTGATTGAGAAGTATTCTCAGCTACTGTGCATCAGAATTATTTCAAGATTAAAAACAAACACCAAGGGGGTGCCTGGCTGGCTCAGTTGGCAGAGTGTGTGACTCTTGATCTCAGGATTGTGGGTTTGAGCCCCATGTTGTGTGTAGCCCCACACTGTCTGCAGAGACGACTTAAAAATAAAATCTTAAAAAAAACACCAAGAAGACAAAAAGAAGAAAGGCTCACAAGTATCACCGACCATTCCTGGTAATGTCAGCCAGAATTCAGCTTCATAAACAATCTTCTGCCAACGTAGAGGTATCCACCCTACTCAGTAGGCCAACTAGAAAAGTGTGGCAACTATAATAGGAAATAATACAACCTAAAATTTAAGAGTCCTAACTCTCGGGGCACCTGGGTGGCACAGTTGGTTAAGTGTCCGACTTAAGCTCAGGTCATGATCTCACAGTTCATGAGTTCAAGCCCTGTGTCGGGCTCTGTGCTGACAGCTCAGAGCCCAGAGCCTGCTTCGATTCTGTGTCTCCCTCTCTCTCTGCCCCTCCCCCGCTCATAAATAAATAAGTCCCAACTCTCAAAGCTGGTGTTCTGCCATGAATAACACATCCAGACCTATCTTACCACATAGCTAGCTACACGCCTGGCTTTGCTAGATTGATTTCTCTATGGGGGAACCTACCCCAGGCACATCCTCAGAGCAGTAAAACTCACCTGTCGACAGTTCTGGGGATCCTGAGCAGAGTCAAGGCATCGCTGATACAGCTCATAACAGATGACGGGTTCTGGCAGGGCCTCCAGGAAAATGAGCAGTGCTTCAGCCACAGAGTGATTACTGCCAGCTGTATCAACTTAAGTCAAGGGAAAGAGGCTCTAGGAAAAAGGCCACACAGAGACCTGATTTGCTTCCTTCCTCCAACCCCCTCAGGGACCGTTTCCTTCCTGTTATTCAGGGCACATTGATCCTAACTGGGGTTTGATATTTTATTGGTCCAGGTATGCTGCAGCTGAGTTGTTACAGAATTGATCAAAGACTCTTGGGAGGTTTGGCTCAACTTGAGAGTCAGGGGAATGTGGCATGCAGAATGATGTTCACACTTGATCAGTCCTTGAAACTAGTCCCCAGTGTTTCCCATTCTCTTTTATGTCCTAGTGACAACATACATGGTGGCAGGAGTGATCAAAAGCCTGAAGCAGAACAGTACCAGTGCTGTGGGTCTTATGCTCCATGTTTATTAAAAGTTGTTGTTACCTACCCCTTTATTCCTTTCAGTAAGAGTCTGATACAGAGACAAGTCAAAAGTTCCTGAAAGGAATTGAAAAACAACTGCAGACTTGATGATTACCTTATAATAGATGACAGTCAGAGAGAAAGTACAGATGGAAACACAAAAATCAAATGTAGGAGGGAAGAAAAGTTTGGTCAAGAATTCATCCAGCTTCCTAAGCCTTTGTCAAAAAGGATACGGATTGTCTCGGGAATGCTAGTATCCAGACAATCAATGATCTGCTGTAACTCCTCCTGCATTCCAGGGGTTTGGAACAGATCCTCCTACCAAAGACATGACAATAAATGGAACAAGGCAAGATAATCAGCCCTAAGGATCTGAAGTCCATCCAGGGATCAAGAGAGTGACAATGCAAATGGAAGTGTAATGTGCATACTCGTGATTAGGAATGGAGGTGTGACAATGGCATCTTTTCCCTTTATCATCTGTATAATCCGTGTGAAATTTTACTTCAAACCAGAAAATGATCTCCACAGGTTTTAGCTTATACCTGATATGGCAGACGACTAGATGGCTACAGTGGGAGACCAGATGTTTCCACTTCTAGCTTCCTGACAAGTATAAGGCAGAGTCCAAACAGCTGAACCACAGTTAAATACTGAACTTAGGGAATGCTAGGGCAGCAGTAAATGGCATGCCCATACCAAACCTTGCTTTTGAGTTCTATTACACTTCAGTAGGTAAAAAAATGTTTTCCTTCAATTTAGTCCCAAGAAATTTCTCTTTTTGGGTGGTTGGCTTGGGGGTAGCTAATATTTTAGATAGGATTAAAAAATGAAAATCAAATTCAAGAAATGGGCTTGAAGTATTAGAAGTATAGAAATGGGCTTTGGACTTTAAAACCTTCAATGCCTATGTGAGACGGGAAACATGCATTATAGACTGAGGTACACAGTGGTCCAGGGGAAATTGTGTGTAGCCAGGAGACAGGCATGCTCAGTTTGGGCCTGGCTCCACCATTACACTTACACTGTGGTCTTAACTAAATCACTTAGTTTGTATGCTTCCATTGTCATATCTGTAAATACGGATACTTCCATCTGCCCAGACGATCTGACAGTGCTATTCTGTGAAGGTAGCTTGCAAAAGTTACAAGCACAATACCAACAGGAGGTATCACACACCTTCCAAAGTTGTAGGGTAGGCCCATAGTCACTTACCTGGTGGCAGGCATATTTGAACAAGTGATCTACCAGAAGCCAGATCTCCTTGGGGACCTGAAGGGGTCTCTCACTGGCACCTTCATCCAAGGGAACCATCTGCAGAAGGGATTTCTCCTAATAGATGAAAAAGGAAGAGAATCAAAGCGGTCTCAATAAAAACATGTATGTAACTTGATGTCCTCCAGATTCTGCTTATGTAAGTACAATTTCATCTTCATCTCTTAAGATTTTTCATTTTTTCTCACTGGGGTCACTCCTGGTCAGAAGGCACTTGATACTGATTCCCACAGTTAAAGAATCTCGTTTTCTAGATGCTTAACAGGTAAGCATTCCATTTGGGTTCATTATGTTTATCACTGGATGCCCTGTGTGTGGTAAATCCTCTCAAGGGTGACACGGAGAGCCAGCGCTGTAGCAGTACAGTCACGGCAGAGTGCACATACCAACTGAGACTTGTGGGCCATTAAATTACAATGGTCAACACAGTACTTTGGAAGAGCAGCATCTACTTAGGTTTTTGGTGACTTTTAACTTCTGATTCTTTCAGGTCTTACCACAAAATTACAGTTTTCATTGCTGATTTAAATGAGGCTCTCTGGTCCACAGAAATTAAAGACAATTCTCCACATTACACCTACATTCATGAATATTTCAGCCTCAATAGAAGGTCTAATCTTAAGGCACTAAACTCATAGCCCTTAAGATCCAAAAATAGTAAACCGAATACAGCATACCAAGAGCCAAAAATACTGTGAAAAGTTCCAGGTTTGAGTCCAGAAGTTATTCTTTATATTAATAACTCAGCAGATTTCTCAAGGCTGTGACCCCTTTCACTTTTCTACTTTCTGTTAGATTCTCCTGAAAGAATCTAAGAGAAAAACCCAAAAGTGACAACTAAACCTGAACTTGGAAATGGCTGGGGACATAAACTCAGTTATCTTGTATTTATATAGTCAAATATAAATTATATCAAAAAGGTGTTTGAAATAGATTAAGTCCTTGAGGGCAGCCTTCAGAAAAATTCTAGTGGAGAAAACAGTAACCAATTCTTTGCATCTTCCCCCCTTCTCCAGCTTGAGGTTATAAATTGTGTACTTTCAACTTTAGGAAATTCTGTAAATTCTAGCCCAACCCCAGCCATGTTGCTTTATGGGAAAGAAAAGCGTTTTACGACTTCCAAAGACTGTGTACACTAGAGCAGAGATGAGGGCTCTGCTTAACACTATGTTCTTCAACCAGCACTGCTGACGTTTTAAAGCTGTTTTACCTTTCTAAGAGAATGAGGAAGAGAAAAGAGCATGACAGTTGGTTACCATTTAAAATCTATTTTCTTCACATCCATTTTGCCTTTTCTTTCTTTCTTTCTTTCTTTCTTTCTTTCTTTCTTTTCTTTCTTTCTTTCTTTCTTTCCTCTCTCTCTCTCTCCTTCCTTCCTTCCTTCCTTCCTTCCTTCCTTCCTTCCTTCCTTCCTTCCTTCCTTCCTTCCCTCCCTCCCTGGGAGTCTATCACTTGATATTCATGCTCCCTGTGGCTGCCAGAACTTTATCAGGGGCTCATCCACTAACTTCTTTCTAGTTGCAAGTATTAAATCCAGGTATCCACATGGTATCTGAATCAAAACACTGTCCATAATGCACTCTGCTCATTTTCTGAACCAAATGCAACACATGTACAGATTTAGCAGATGCCTCCAAACTTACCATATATAAATTATTCAGCACTGATTCATGTACTTTTTAAAAAATCTGACATCCAACTGGTGCTTTTCCTGTACTAAGGCATTAAGGCGACACAAGGCACTGCCCGCGATGAAAAGACAACATGGCCTGCTATTAACAAGGAAAGGCCGGGAAGCAGAACTGTCTCAACCCTTAGTGGTTTAAAAAGGTTAATAAAATGTCAGTAGGTTATATACATCATCCACTATCCATTTTCAAATTTATGCGTGATAACATGAAATGTCAGACATGTGTCTCTGAAGTCTAGAGAAAGATCATGCACAAGAAATAGTACTTTCTCAAAAGTCCACAAATTATCCTGATAACTTTAATTTTCAAAGGGAAATAAAGCACACTTTGAAACCTTAGCGCTAATAATTAATGCAGAAAAACAGTACACCATTTCCACCATCAAAATGCATTAAACTCCATCAAATGGGGAGATGGTGTTAGATGCTGTGTGACACCGCTTTAAGAATGGTTTTCAAGCCCACATTTCTCTATGTGATAGCCCTGTGTGGAGCCAGACAACCTCCAGCTTGAAGATAGAAGTGGCAAAGCACTACAGGAGCCCTTTACTAGGTTCCTTGACTGAGTATTCAGGAGATGTGGGTTCTAGTGCCCTCTGCCCCACACCCCTGATACCAGGAGTAGTATGACTTTAGTGAGTTTTTCAACCTTGGGCCTTGGTTGTCTTATCTATTAGAATGGGGAAAATTACCCTGTCTGAAGGCAGAGAGCTACACCAGATGATCCCTCATGGTCTTGTTCAGCTCTATAATTCTATTCTACACTCTTTCTTAACCATATAACTGCATTCTTTTGGTAATTAATGACTACTGTCACCAACCCCAAATCACTCTTAATACAACACAAATCCACTTCTGCTTTTATTATCATTGGAAATGGAGGACAGCTGAATGGTACCCTGCTCCACCTCATGAGCTTTCACATATATCAAGACAGCTCTTTAGTTACTTCTCATTTTAAAAATACAAATTTGGAAACTTGACTCCTATTGCTTTTATGTACTGGGTCTCAACGACCACCAGTGCAGTAAATATCTTTTCTATACTTCAGACACACTTAAAAACAGCTGGCAGGACTTTGGTGGATTCTCATGGAATCAGAGGTCTCTGATATGGGAAAGATTAGGGACAAATTCCAGGGACCACAGTTAAGTGTTAATTAAGCACAGGAAGCACATAACCACCAATGGATTGTATTACCTTTTCTAGGAAGCTGTCTTCTTCCTGAGAGCAGAGCAGGAAAAGATAGTCATTGACAGACAGAAATCAGAATTAATTTACAGAATTAGAAACAGATCAGTATTATTAGAACTCACTATCTTGCTAGATGTATATACTTTAAACAGCTTTAAATTTTTCAAATAAATCATTGTTGAAAATGGAGTTATGTTCTCTCTACATGCAAAGTTCTCTATTGTACATATTAAACGTTCATGTGGTTTATTGAGATTATCACTCAAGAAACATACATGTGCAGTTCTAGACTTTTGTGTCCTTTGGCAGCTTCCAGCTGACCTGGCCAAATGCCCAGTGATGGCTCCTTTCCACATGCTGCCTGGAGGCAGGCCCTGCTGCTATACTATGCGGCTTCCTAAGTCATCCTAATGCCACTCGATGCACGAATTTGGTTGTGAGTCTGACAGTGGCCATTCAGAAGGAGACAACTGGCTTCTCCCCTCTCCCTGCCATTCCTTTCACCCTAAGCAGTATCCCACACTCTTTTCCCTCGCCATGTACCTACTCCCCTCCTCAAAGGCCCCTAAACTCCCCAAATATGGAGGTCCCTCTGAAATGTAAATTTATTTCATTTCAGACCTTTGTGGACCAGAAGACCCATAATTATCCCTATTGTGATTTCTTGTATGATATAAGAGAAAAAAGAGAAGCAAGGGAGAGGGAAGAAGGTTAATTGGCTCTGTCTTCTGTGCTCTTATTATAATCCAATAACAAGAGCAACAATAACTACTGCCACCACTTAGGGAGCACCTGCCATGTACTGGAAACTGTAAAGTACTTGTATACAATGTCATTTAGTCTGCACAAGTGTGCACAGTAGATATTATTCCCATTTTACAGATGGGGAAACTGAGGCTCTACCAGGTTAAATTATTTGCCCAAGGTCATACTATTAGGTATTAAGTGGCAGGTACAGGATTAGAACTCAGGTCTGACTGACTCTATAGTCATTACCACTATTGTCCCCTAGACAACTCAAAAAATACAATCTAGCTGCTTCCTGGGCAGAGAGGCAAGGCAGGGCAAGGCTGTGAAAAAGACAGTGAGAAACAAAGCACCATGGTTAGTGGAGACAGTACAGAAACTAGTGGTAGACAGTCCTGGGTAAAATCTTTGTTCTGCCTCCTATTAATTTTGTACAGACCTTAGGCAAGTTACTAAACTTTATAAAGCCTCAGTTTCTTCATCTCCAAAACAGGGATAATGATATTTGCTTTGTAGGACAAGGAAACAGCCTAAAATCCAGGCATGTTGGGACACTGGTGGTGCAGTATGCCAGCACCTCCCCACCAACTCCCAGCTGGAATCCTGCCAACGCTGCCACAGGCCACCAAGAACCTGAGTATAAATCACACGTCTCATGTCTGATAGTAAAAGGGGGAGTCCCGATCTTACTACGAGAGATGTGCAGGAGGCTGGAGGTGGGGGAGTGTGTGCTCCCTGATGTTCCAAATAGAATGCTAAATACATTTCCCCCAAATGACTTTTATATATATGGTGGATAGGTTTTTTTAGTATTATTAGATACATTATGGATTAAACAGGCTCTTATAGGTTTACCTAGACTTTTAAATACCACATATAAATTGAGCTAAAAATAATCAGAGTAATATTGTCTTATGAAGTATGCAGTATTAATAGTATTGTAATTACTTTATTTTTTTAATTTAAAAGTTAAATTCTGAATGCCAAACATCTAATTTAACACAATTTTGGAGCACAACCTTTCTTTAAATTTAGGACTACTTATTAAGAAATAGTAGAACTAGCCTAACAGACTTCTCTATTTTTCCTCCCATGAACACATGCCACATGATACGATGAGTAAAACTAGGCAGAGTTTTTATACACTAACCTGTCAAACCAGGTCCTCAAAGCAGTTTTCTTTGAGCAGTGCAAGGCATGCCTTTGGGGGGTGTAGTGGGGGGTGGATGAGAAAGGAGGCTACACAGAAGGGAATGATATGGTCCCTGATTTGGGTATGCAATTGATTTGGGGTAAGAAATCCCAGAATTTATAGCCTGATATTGTTATAATTCACAGATAGGAGTTCTCAATAAACGGTTAATATGAAAAACAAGCAAAGGGGTTCAAAAGAAGGAGATGGCTTTAGGCTGGGTCAGGGGACTTT